GGAGAGAGGAACTACACTGAGAAACACACACGCACCGGCCAGCATGAGGATCCCGGGTTCCAAAAAAGATAAATAAAATAAAAATTTAAAAAATCGACTTCTCATCAAGCGTCAAGGCGGGCGAATCTTTGGCCCGCCGGATCCCACGGACTACAACTCCCATCTTCCTTTAGCCTTGGCCCTGCAGGCTAGGGGTTCTGGGAGTTGTCGTCCACGAAGCTGGGCTACAGGGTTCGCCATCCCTCACCCGGAGGCTCTAGAGGGGCTGTTCAGCGCCGGGAAAGACAAATACACAAGTGAGATCCTGCAAACAATGGCACAGCCTGCCTTTTCCCCAGGAGCTGATAAGAAGCAAAGAAGGGCATTCTGGGAGAGGAACCCGCTCACACCAAAGGAGAAGCCCTTCCCCCTTAGACCCTGTCCCAGGCCTCCTATTGTCCCAGTATTACAGGTCTCCTTTTTAACCCCCTTTCCGTTATTTGACAAGTCAAGGAATAGGATAGCAAGATCAGAACCTGAATCATGAAAACCTTTCCTAACTCGGACCCCTTCCCAATCAGCAGGACTACCATTCCCATTATGCCACCCTACCTGCCCGGAAATGATGTTAGCCCGTCTGAACGGGAGCCAAGCCGGTGAAAGGCTAGGGAGCCATAAAAACCTCTCCCGACCTCAGCACTGCTCGGAAGCTACGAGGCTGCAGGACAAGGGGCCGGATCCAGCCTAAGCCGGGCACTTGCTAAATGGCCCCCGTTGCTTAAGTCGAGGTGGGAGAAGAGTGGCCTTCGCCTCCCTAGTTCTTCCCTAGGGCGCCTAGGAGTGTGTGTGTGTGTGTGTGTGTGAAAATCCCCAAATGCAAAGTTGTGCAAATACTTTTTACTACTGATCTACCAAGCAATTTTCTCCAAAGTCCTTCGTTGGGGGCCAAAGAATGAAGAATGAAAGAATTGGGGGAGGAGAAGGAGGGGGGTCGCACGAAAAATCCCCACCCGACCCATGCTTGCGGCTCATTCCTGCCTCCGTTTACTCAGGAGTAAGCCCCAGCCACCAGGGGGCAGGACTTGGGCAGGTTCTCCCAGCCCCGATCCCTATCGTGGGAAAAGGAGGTCATTCCCACGTAGGTGGGTATCACATGAGGACACCTCGGGCTGCTTTTGCTCTTCGACATACATCGACAGCCCCGCAAGCCTTCCAGGAAGCGAGGCTGTTGAACTCCACGGGATCGTTGCCTCCGAGGTCCCCGGAAGGGATCATCCCATGAAAAGCATAGGCTGAAGTTTTGACTGGTTGATAAATCACTGCACTGGGCTTTCTTTGCCCAGAGCCGGCAAATATTGCAAACACGGGTGTTAGGTGGAAACGGATTTTAATCCACGAAACCTTCCACTAAAATTAAATTAGACATGCTATAATAGGTTCCCCTGTTTTCTTTTGCTAAATATTGGAAAGGTAAATTAAAATTTATTTTAAAGGCTCAACCTTCCTTCCTTTTCTTTTATTTTCTCTTTTCTTTCTTTCTTTCCTTCCTTCCTTTTCCCTTCCTTTCTTTTCTTTTCTTTCCTTCTTTCTTTTCTTCCTCTTTCTCCTTCTCTCTTTCTCGCTTTCCTGCACCGAATTGAGTGGGGCTTCTATTTCTGAACCTTGGATGGACTCGCGCACGCCAAGAATCTAAAGTCCTACCAAAAGCCGTTGCGAAATTGTATTCATAAAAAAATAAATAAAATCTGACCCAAGTCCACAGGATCGACTCTGGAGAGAAAGGCAGACGAAACAAGAGAGGGAGAAAGTGCGGGCAGCTCAGCTCTTTCTTACCTTTGCGGGATCCGCGTAAGTTCCCAGCCCGATCACAGGAATGCTGTTCCCATCGTTCAGCATCAAACGGTGGCTTTCGGCGGTGAGATTGAGCATTCTTGATGCGGATTTTTTTAAAGGGGGAGGGAAAAAAAACACCCGGTGAGGATGGGGGATTTTGGTCACCCACCCACCGGCCGACGCACTTCTTCTTTCTGATACACGGGATTCTTCGGGGAAGAATGGCCTTTTGTGTGATCCAACGTGCTCCGGGGGGGAGGACGGCCTCTCCGATCGATAGAGGGCGCAGGCGAGCAGGGAACGGCGCCTTCCCATCTGCCGCCGCTGGATCGCGTGTGCCGTCGGCGATCGGTTCGCCATCTGTTAAATACGAGCCGCGGTCGCGTTGGCATTTCACCAGAGGGAAGCGATTGGTACTCTGGCCGTGGCCGGAGGGCATCACCTTTGGCTCGCTCTCTCCCGCTCTTTTTCTTCCGTCGGATGGCTTGATGGAGCTCCGCAAGAGAGGGGCAAGACGGGGCATCCGAACTCTACTTGGGGACGGAGGGAGCGGGGAGAAGAGATCTCGCTGGAAACCTATAAAATACAAGGCAACCTTTGTGTTGTGTCGCTATTCTACGACGACGCGCCCTCCCCCTCCCGACTGATGGGCCATCGCTCCTTAATTATAGTGGAAACCCCCCCCCCCAAAGAGAGCCGAGCTGAGAAAAGAGTCCTGTGGAGGAGGGAAGTCACTGAAACGAACTCCAGAAGTTACCCACGCTTGGGGTTCAAGATGACAAAAAATGTGTCTCAAGAGAGGTGTGCAATGGAGGAGGCATCCCTCCGTATTGCTCGAGTTGTCACATTGAGAACTCACCTTTATTCCAGTGAACTAGTGGCTCTGGCTTTCTTCCACTTTCTTTTCACAACGTCTCCTCCTCCTCCTTACTTAGCCTCTCCTTCACCGCACTTTAGAGCAGCCTAGGGAGGTAGGACAGGCTGGGATGCCCCTACACAGACACAGAAAGAGAAATGGGGGGGATCTAGTAAGGTGACGAGATCACCCCATGAATTCTAGGGATCCTTGGGGTTGGAATCTGGAATCCCCTAAGTTCTTGTCCAGCCCTCACAACGAGCTGGGTCTGTGGGCTGCCCCTACTTCTTCCTTTGTTCTTTCCATCTAAAAATCTCTCCGGGAGGAAAAGATGGGATCACTCAGGATATGCCGCCCTGAAATTATGCAGGGGGTACCCCTTCCTCACACTAGGAGCAATGAGGTCCACAATGTTTTTTTGTTCCCTTGGAAGCATGCCCTGTTTGCACAGATCACAAACACCCCAAACATGTGTTCATTTGTGGAGCAGGGATCAATTTGTGGCTGAGGTTGCAGTCTTGCAAACTACTGATGGGGGTATCCATTCAAGCTGGGATGTCTCTGGTGCTTAGGAGATCATGGGTGCAATGAATGCACTCCAGGTTTGGGCTGGAACTTGATAGGAGCCAAGGTGATGGCCACTACAAGGTGTGGAGACAGGGCTCAGACAGCTCAGACAGCTCCTGTGATGTTTGCACAATGTCCTGGATTCATTGGCCCCGGTCACCTACCTCCACTGCCTTCAGATGTTGCTGCCCTATAACTTTCAACATACCTCACCACTTATTATACTGGCTCAGACAGATGGGTGTATGTGTGCAGTCCAACAGATTTAATAACATCAATCATTATGTGCTGTCAGGTCCATTCTGATTTATGGTGACTCTTCTCCAGGATTTTCTGGGTGTGGAGTATTCAGAAATAGTTTACCATGCCCATCTCCTGGGGGCATTCTAGGATCAATTAGCTTGCCCAAAGGCAAATTCTGGGAAGTAGGTCCCACTGAAAGGCTAGCTGGGTAACTCATGCTTTGAACCAAGAGCAATGTACAGTACTCGTTCACAATGCAAGTTTCAAGTTTCTGTGCATATTGAATTCTTGATCTTAAGGAAGCTACTCTTGGGATCTTTATTTTGACTTCCGTCCTGAGACTTTGATCCTACTGTTTGTTCAATAAAATTCCAAGGGGCTTGTATCTCCCAACAGACTCCACGCTTCTGCTTCACATCTTTACTGCTCTCCTCTGTTGTGGTCAGCCAATTCTTGCTTTTACTGATTGATATGAGCATGGTTTTCTTAAGATACGTTCTAGATCATGTTCATTTCCCATTTATTTTATTGAATGACTTTTGGAGACCATCTAAATTGTCAGCTAGTAATACTGTATTGTTATTGTTGATAGTCAGTTCATCAATGATGATACTATCATTTGAAGCAGCAGGAGTTGCTCTGATGATGTTCTCAAGTGACAAATTGAAAAACACCGAGGAGGGGTGGACATCACATCCAGAGTAGACCTTTGGTCTAGATGGGTGGGATAGATAGATAGATAGATAGATAGATAGATAGATAGATAGATAGATAGATAGATGTGCCTCACCTTGTATTTCTGTCCTCTGATTATCAAATGCCATTGCAGCTTTCTGTTGCCAGAACATGTTGCCAGTTACAAGAATATTTCGTGAACCAAGACCTTTGTTTATCAGTAAATCTCTCAGCTTGCTGTATAGGATTTGTCAAAAGCACTTTATTTACTAGTTACATTTATAGCCTGCCTTTTTTTTAAAGGATCCCGAAGCAGCATATTTCTATCTCCATGTTGTCCTCACAACAAGACTGTCAAGGAGAGCAGGCTGAGAGAGTGTGACTGGCGCAACTAACATCTGAACTGCTATCTCAAAGTGGCTCTCAATGAATGTAAAGTCTACCTTGACAGGAAAGTCCATGTCCTTTTTCTGGCATGGGTGCTTTGAAGAAAGAATTGACTAACATAGCTGGCTCTCTTTTGGCCTGCTCCTGCTCCTGGAGCAGAAGTCTGGTCTGCCGAAAACAGCAGCAGAAGCTTTTCACAGCATAAAAAGTAATCTTGTCACCAGTTAACATCTTCATACGGTGCAGCTGGAGAGTTGGCAGCTCTGTCTAATAGGCTGGAAAGTTTCCTGGGTCATATAACTGATCTGTCTAGGTTGGATTGTTTACACTGATTGGCAGCAGTTCCCTCCGGTTTCAGACAAGAGTCTTATCCAGTCCTACCTGATGTGGCTGGGATTAAACTCGGAGACGTTTTGAATGCAAAGCATATGTTCTAACAAAAAAAAGAAAAACTGCCTGTGCCTTTCATTTACGTTCTATAAAACCCCGGAACGGGCTGTAGCAATCTGAGGAGGTGACCTTTCTCTCTGTATTATTGCTTATATGCATCAGACCATGAGAAAGGCAGACGAAGAGTGATTCCGTGTATGTTTCTGAGAAACAAAGAAAAGAGGTAACATTCCAAACAATATGAATAAATAATATCAATTCACTTTTTTTAAAAAAAAATTAAGAGTCTTTCCACTGAGGAACTTTCAAGATGATGCACAGTGTAAGACATAACACAAAATCCTGTGTGCAGTGATAATTCATGTGCTGGGCAGGACTTCAAAGATCCATGTTGAAGTCCTAAAGATGCCAAGAAACTCACTGGGCCAACCAGCCTGTCCTTCCAGCAGTGCTGGCTTGCTGTGATATCAATGGTCCATTACAGCCACCCCAGTCTCTGGCTATCTCTGTCCACTCTTGCCTGCCTCTCTTTCCAGCTGAAATGGAGGACTGAGACCGTGCCTGTGTGTCCACTCATTCTGTGTATACAGGTAAATGTGTGCACACTCACTTACTTTGCGTATGTCTGTGTCTGGGAATACTCCCATTTTCCCTCTGGTTCTGCCAATCATCACTGGTTCCACCCACCTCAGCCTATTGTGCAGTCTGACCTCACCAACCACAATGGGCACCAGCCACCCCTAGAGGACCGCTATTCCTCCCAGACGTCAGTGAATATTTCTGCCAGAGACAACTGTCTCACTGCTCCATGTGGGCCCACCTTTGTGGGGAAGATAAAGAGGGCAACTACATTGGCTATTTAACCCACAGTTTACATCAGATTGGGTACAGATAAAATCACATTTAAAAACTTATAACTACACAATGTAAAGCTCCATATCAGGAAGCCCACTGGGGAGCTGTCTCTTTTTGCTCAGATGGCAAGGTGGCTTTATTTTGCTCCAACTGGGCTATCATTCAAGTAAGTGTCTGTTGTCTTCAAACAGTGGCTCTTCCTCCTTTTTATGCTTTCCAGTTTGTGTTGACTTCGAGCCATCCAGACGGGCATAGAGCTCGGTATATGGACCACTGTTTTTTATGATTTTGGTTGGAACCAAATGACAGTGTCCGCACACATTTCTCCTTAGATCAATCCATCTTGCCCCTTTAAGAGCTGTCGTGCACTTTTCTGCCACAGTGCTAAGGCAGCCATTTTATCTGGTACAATTCAATGTGGTCCTAATTAGCTCATTGTGTAGCCTGTGCAGACAGTGAGATTGCACCCAAATGGAGCTGTGGGCAACATTACCTGAAGGGACAATCCTGTGAAGTGATAGGTAGGTTCTGGTATTAAAAAGGAGGATGGGGGCGGGAAACACTTTTTAATATTTTTAATGAAGGGACAATCCTGTGAAGTGATAGGTAACTTCTGGTATTGAAAAGGAGGATGGGGGCGGGAAACACATTTTAGTATTTTTTAAATAGAGTAGGGTATTTTAACTGTATTTTAATTATTTTATTTTATTGCATTGAATTTTAATTGTTGTGAGCCGCCCAGGGACCTTTGGGTAGAGTGGGCGGCATATAAATTAAATAAAATAAATAAATAAATAAATAAATAAATAAATAAAATAAATAAATAAATAAATAAATAAATAAATGTTTCCTTAATTGAGGCAGTCCAATTTTAATACCACGCTAGATTGATGCATTCCTCTTTTGATATGCCACTTACTTCAATTAACGAAAAGGAAAAATGAGGAAAGCTACTGCAGCCGGCTGAAGGACAGCAGCTAGAAAATGTCACCTCTGTGGGCTCCACCGTCACAAGGCAGCACAAACCCAGGAGAGCCTGGACTGAGGAGAAAGGCAGGGAAAGGGCAGTTGCCTCCGTTCTGTCTCCCCAACCTTCACTTCGAGGTTTTCTGCTTGTGCCAATACCACCACTATGAACTTGCCCCATCACTGCTGTTCTCTATGAGTAAACCAGGCACACTTACACAAGAGTAAACCAGCAATCCAAAATATTTGTGTGGACTCTTCTCACAGAAGAATAAGCATCAGTGTGAATGAAAGGATGTCACCCAAATAGACCATACTAAAGATAAGAACCTGTTAAATGCAAAACAGTCTACAGTACTCCAAATTTCTCTGTTTGGACAGGCCCTCTCTAAGATAAGCAATATTTATTTATTTATTTAATTAATTTAGATGCCGCCCACACCACCCAAAGGTCTCTGGGCGGCTTACAACATTTAAAATACAATAAAAATACAGAACAATTAAAATACAATTAAAATATATATAAAAATTGCCATCAGACCCACAGCTAATATTATTTCAATTTAAAGCCTTCTGGAACAGGAAGGTTTTGACCTGGCGCCAAAATATCATCCGCATCGGTGCCAGATGACTCTCGGTCGGGAGGGCATTCCATAGTCTGGGGGCAGCTGCCGAAAAGGCCCTTTGTCTACAAGCTGTCCCTCTTACCTCCTTGAGGGATGGCTCTTTCAAAAGGGCCCCCTGGCTAGAGCTTAACTGTCAGGTAGGTTCATATGGAAGGAGGCCAGGTAGGTTTATATGTCACCTTGGAGGAAAAAAAAGAGAAAGAAAGACATGTTTCTAGTGGAAATCGCAAGTTTACACCTTGCCGTATCAAAGGCAGGTTCTGCTGCTGGAACTCCCTGCAAATATTTGACAGCTTTCTTTGCCTCAGCCCTAGTGATTCCATTCTCAGAAACCAGCAGGGACCGGACTTGAAAAACTGTGGATTAAAGCAGCTCAAAATGTATTTTCATTGCTGTATAGCCATAGCACCTGGGGAAGAAGAGGTTCACAAACTTTGCCTTGTGTTCATTGGTGAGAAGGTTGGATGGAAAAGTAACCAGGAAATAATTTGAAGAAACAAGTCAAAGCCAAAAAAGCTTATGTCCATTAAAACTTGCCTGTCTGTAAAGATGCTGCAAGACTGCTCTTTGTTTCTGCTGTGACAGATTTATGCAGCTAACCCCCTCCCAGAAACAAGATTAGATTAGGCATCCTTCACTCTTGAGAGACTATGGTAGCGTGCTCTGTATGGAGGACTTGGAATAGCATCTAGTGTGACTGAGAATGGCAGTTCAAGAGTGACAATCCCTTCCACACAAATAATAAATAAAGACATAATGACAGAGCATCAAATGTTGAAGCCAAACCAATAATCAAGCCCTATATGACTCAGGTCCAGGCTATTTGAAAGATTATATCACCCTGCATGAGCCTTCATGGCTTTTATAATCTTCTGGGAAGGCCCTTCTCTCTATTTCACCACCTTCCCAAGTTCATTTAGTGGGGACACAAGAGAGGACCTTCTCCGTGGCTGCCCCCAGGCTTTGAAATTCCCTTCCCTGAGAATCCAGGTTGGGCCCTTCCCTCTTGCCCTCCAGACGTCTGGCAAAGACCTTCCTCTTCAGGCAGGTTTTTAAGCAGAGAGTTGGTGGTGTTTTTGTTTTTTAAATTTACAGATTTTTAAATGTTTTTAAACAGCTTTTAATCTTGGTTTTTAATCTTGATATAGGTTGGATTTTTTTTTAAAAAAAGGACCTTTATACAGTATTTTAAACCTGTGTTTGATTTATCATTTGTTTTATCTGGGTCCCATATGGGGAGAAAGTGCCATAAAGATACATACATATATAGTGTACATACTACACACACACACAGAGAGAGAGAGAGAGAGAGAG